GATGTTCGTTAGTACAGGATATTACTAGGTAAACTTTTGGTGGGTCTCTAGGTTTTTTTTACTATAAATCAACTTGCTTCCATTATCAGGTTTTCTGCAGTTTCTTTGGATATTTTCGAGATTAGAAGTTCAGTGATGAAATGAGAATGATTTACGAAAATTGCAAAAAAAAAAAAATCTAATTTCTTTGGAGGAAAAGGGTTTAAATAACAGTACATAGTAATGGATAATGATCTCCGTTTTGAGGATTTGTGACAGTAAATCTCAACATGTTTGACACAAGTACAAAATACACACAAGTGAAAGCACCAATACAAATTTAGTATTAGACTCCGTAGTGTTAAGCAATGAACTTAACTGCATTATGCAACTTGTTCGTCCTTCTCGGCCTCGTTTGTGACCTAGAGACCTACCTTATCCGACTAAAACTGACGGAAATGTCAAAATCTAGATTGGGAATAGTACTAACCCCGTCGTCCAATAGATTTCGTAACTTTCATATAAATCTGGTTAAGAGATTCGGTGTGAAGCCGATAGGGAATTTTATTCCTAGATCATTGACTTCCGGTTCATCTAAAGTTTGTTTTTATAAAAAAAAAAACCCCTTTGGACCGAGCCATAGTTTTTTATGGAAAAAATAGATTTTGAAAATAAGAATACATCTATGCATACAGTTTAACAAAGACCAATGTGTAGTTCGGATTTGATATATAACAATTTAGGATTATGTGTGTTATTTGATAACATTAATGCTTATGTGTGTTATTTGATAACAATAATGATTATGTGTGTTATTTGATAACATTTAGGATTATGTGTGTTATTTGATAACATTAATGCTTATGTGTGTTATTTGATAACATTTAGGATTATGTGTGTTATTTGATAACAATAATGATTATGTGTGTTATTTGATAACATTTAGGATTATGTGTGTTATTTGATAACATTTAGGATTATGTGTGTTATTTGATAACATTAATGATTATGTGTGTTATTTGAAGATACGTTGTCCATAAAGCATATGTACATTATGCATGTAGCATTAAGATAACTTTTCTGTTGTCCCTTTTACAAGAGAATCACAATGCTAATTGTGCTATTATCAAGAAAATCATACGGAACGCGGTGTTGGTTGGGACTTTCAATGTTTCACTCCGAAAATACATCCCGCTGTTATTTTGTATCAAACTGGAGCGATACCTCATATTGACACGGTTTTCAATATTCTCCATTATTGTATTACTATGCGTTGCTGAGAGGCAGTGTCAATCTTTCTACTTCTAAAATGTACGATAGTTAGTCCCTTTTCACGGTCGCGCTAAATTCGATATCCAGGTTAGAGTCCCGATATCGCGATTTCCGTCATAGCTGTCAATAACTGACATTAAAAAGATGTCGACTGACAAAAGGGGAGCTTGATGGTCAATAACTGACATTAAAAAGATGTCGACTGACAAAAGTTTGATGGTCGCCATCATTTGAAACACCGAAAGAATCTCCGCGACATGTACCTGTTGTTAAAAACAGCTAAACTGAGATACCAATTTAATGCTTGAACACTATTATAAGAGACAGGAAACAGATAATTGCTTTCCATATATATGTTGTTTTGACTGGGGAACATCTTTTATCTTCGGTTTAAACTTATCTCAAGTACGGTGATGTGATTTGGAAAACTGTTGTTTGCTCACAGAAAGTCAGCTAACGCTTTCTTGTCAGATCAATAGATCGCCTCGGTATGAATTACACAGCCATGTTTTGTCCCCAGTTATCAATAGAACTAAACATATCATCTTGCTCTTACTCAATCTTGTATATAATGATATTGATGTTTACTTTCGATCCCCAGTTCAAACTGTTTTGCTTGTTATATTTATTTAAAAAAAAGAATATTTTTGTTTAAAAATGTACATAACTTAAAAATATACCTATTATACTTTGTAGGGGTTTCCGTGTAAAACTTACTTTTTCTTGAATTTTGCGCTAGATCGAATTAGAGTTTTAATTCGGTTGCCATGACAATATTATTTTAGTTTCATTTTGTTTTTACGTTGTACATATCAAAGTCTTATATGTTTTTTGCAGCCTGTAAAGAAAACCTGTCATAAATGTCCCTCACTCTGCAACGCACAATTAGTCTTACTCCAGATATGTTGGAACAAAACCTAGAAAATTGATTTTTCTATTATGTTCACATTTCTTGGGAAATAGTTCCTGAGAAGTTTCTATTATATGCTGGTATCAACATGTAGAGAAATAACCAACATATGAGAAAATGTGTGAGATTCCTTATCCCATTTACAGCTGATTGGTTGTAAAGACGGATAAACCTAATTTTGCTTCCACTTTTAAAAATTTAGTTCAATGACAACAAGAAAAATATTGCGTTTGAATTCCTCCAAAACTTTCTATAGATTCTAGCAGTATTATATCGTAGTAATAAATATCATAACAAATAAAAGGAAACGATTTCCAGTAGATTTGGACTAATTTTTCAGCACTCTGTTAACGTAGGGTTATCTACTTCCTGAATAAAATTCTATTAACATCCAATTTCATTCAGCATTATTTCGAACTTGCTTTGTTATCGGTTCCCGCTGTCTTATCCTAATACTGTCATAATGTAGCACCATGCCCTGTAATTCTGTACAGTGATGTTAAGGTAGTGTACCGTGACAAAGACTTGACGCACATAAGCTATATGGATTGATTACGGCGACATCTTAGTAACGCGGCTGATGGTATGTGTTGGTGACAACCATTGACACAATCAGATTATTTTACACGATAATGTATCAAGTATTGCATGTTGAACCTATCCTAATGACATTAAACTCTTCAAAGGAGGTAAGAATTGATCATCTGCATTTCTTCAGCAACTCGAGTGTAAAATGAATAGATATTACATGCTTTAGATGAAGATAGTTACTATCAAAAGGTTACAAAAAATCTATAATGAATCGATAGTGTTTCTAGGATCACTGATATATAAATCTGCTTTGTGTACTAGTAGTGTAATTAGAGACAATCAGGTGACATAAAACATGAAACCTCGTACCCTGATCACATGTTTTATGTTGTGGTGTTAATTATCAGCATTGTTCTAAAAAAGCATGACGTTAGAAGCTGATTAACTGGACAAAAAAAATTTACTCCAGAGGAGGTAAAGCCGATCCGCTTCATCAGAATTCATCGGGTAACCGCAGATCGTACTAAATAGGATTACTCTCCACTGATTTTAATGAGATCATATGATATTGATACGACGTAGTTCAGAATAAACACGTGTAGTTGACGACCTTTTAAAATTATATGAAAATTATGATTTTTTTTAAGTAATGGGTCTAGTGCACCTCCTAATAAAGAGCCTGAAATTTCGTTCGGTCAATTTTTGTTTTACACTATCCGCTCCTACGTTAGATAATTTAGGCTCTTGGCATCACTGATGTGTCTTGTAAGGACGAAACATCTGTATGATGTAGCATCGCTGACGTGTCCTAGAAGGACGAAACAGCTGTATGATGTAGCATCGCTGACGTGTCCTAGAAGGACGAAACAGCTGTATGATGTAGTATCACTGACGTGTCCTAGAAGGACGAAACAGCTGTATGATGTAGCATCACTGACGAGTCCTAGAAGGACGAAACAGCTGTATGATGTAGCATTACTGACGAGTCCTAGAAGGACGAAACAGCTGTATGATGTTACATCGCTGACGTGTCCTAGAAGGACGAAACAGCTGTATGATGTAACATCGCTGACGTGTCCAAGAAGGACGAAACAGCTGTATGATGTAGTATCATTGACGTGACCTAGAAGGACGAAACAGCTGTATGATGTAGCAGCACTGAAGAGTCCTAGAAGGACGAAACAGCTGTATGATGTAGCATCACTGACGAGTCCTAGAAGGACGAAACAGCTGTATGATGTAACATCGCTGACGTGTCCTAGAAGGACGAAACAGCTGTATGATGTAGCATTACTGACGAGTCCTAGAAGGACGAAACAGCTGTATGATGTAGCATCGCTGACGTGTCCTAGAAGGACGAAACAGCTGTATGATGTTACATCGCTGACGTGTCCTAGAAGGACGAAACAGCTGTATGATGTAGCATCGCTGACGTGTCCTAGAAGGACGAAACAGCTGTATGATGTAACATCGCTGACGTGTCCAAGAAGGACGAAACAGCTGTATGATGTAGTATCATTGACGTGACCTAGAAGGACGAAACAGCTGTATGATGTAGCAGCACTGAAGAGTCCTAGAAGGACGAAACAGCTGTATGATGTAGCATCACTGACGAGTCCTAGAAGGACGAAACAGCTGTATGATGTAGCATCGCTGACGTGTCCTAGAAGGACGAAACAGCTGTATGATGTAGCATTACTGACGAGTCCTAGAAGGACGAAACAGCTGTATGATGTAGCATCGCTGACGTGTCCTAGAAGGACGAAACAGCTGTATGATGTTACATCGCTGACGTGTCCTAGAAGGACGAAACAGCTGTATGATGTAGCATCACTGACGAGTCCTAGAAGGACGAAACAGCTGTATGATGTAGCATCGCTGACGTGTCCTAGAAGGACGAAACAGCTGTATGATGTTACATCGCTGACGTGTCCTAGAAGGACGAAACAGCTGTATGATGTAGCATCACTGACGAGTCCTAGAAGGACGAAACAGCTGTATGATGTAGCATCACTGATGTGTCCTAGAAGGACGAAACAGCTGTATGATGTAGTATCATTGACGAGTCCTAGAAGGACGAAACAGCTGTATGATGTAGCATCGCTGACGTGTCCTAGAAGGGCGAAACAGCTGTATGATGTAGCATCGCTGACGTGTCCTAGAAGGACGAAACAGCTGTTTGATGTACTTTAATTTATTTTTTGACACTACTGTATCTTCCTCTAAATTTGTATTAAATTGTGTTATGGACTTAAATGTACAATGATTGATATTATGAAAATGTTGAAATACGTTGATTTAAACTTACCTATGAATTTACACATGTGGACAGTCTTATTTGACGGGGACATAATGTGGAACTCCTGACCCATAAAATTTGTAGATGGAAGGCGTTCCCACGTAAAATCTGTACTGAAATTGCATTGACTCCCAGCCTTTCCTGACATCACAACGATACCAAAGCACTGGCTGCTGTTCATTCGGACACCATCTAAAGTATACGTAGAGTTCAACAATACAGTTTCGTAATTGTTGATTTGCATAGAAGCGACCATCTCCAAAGAAGTAATAGAAGAGGTGTTAGTATTCATGTATACATTGACTGTTGTGTTATCCTTCATCCCCACCACATAAACACCTTGTTGTTCATGTTGGCTAGCGTCGTCTAGCAGAAGTAAATAGGCCGTCGCCAATTGATGCGAAGATGGTATGTACATTGGATCCCCCTTGTCTGACAATATCTGCATATTTGGGCGAGCGTCTGATGTGAATCGGTGAACTGAAAGAAATAATGAAGAGTTTGTATATTAATCTTCGTAGAGTACACACAAAGGGTAACTTTTTTCAACTTTTCAACATCAAAAGTACAAGGTAAAATAGTTTCCTTTTGAATATCGAATAATTAAAAAAAATATGTTGTGAAAGCAACATATACTTTGTAGTATCCATTTACTTACACAACAATGTAATCTAGTGCTCATGCTGTAAAATGCTATCTTTATATAGAAAGCAATAAAAAAAAAAAAAAAAAAGAAAAGAAAAACAAAGAGATATTCAAAACGGTGCGTAAAAATAATGTTTATCCCGTTTAAGGAATATTTATGCCTGTTTACAACATTGGATTTCGTTACACATGTCTGTTTAAACAGAACCATGTTTATGATTTAGAATCCATTGGCGAGATGGCAAGCAGAACAGGGAACATTACATCAAAATAAAGAAATGATACAGCCGAGAACGGAAACATCTATCACACGTCTGAATGTGGTTACTGTCAAATATCCGGCGCCTTACAAAGCAGGTTGTAGGAGTCGCCTCAGTATAATTGGCTATATTGTGGAAATGGCCGTTTAGTTAAGCCTGATATGAATGGGGGCTCCGTAATATGTCGTTCCTGGCAACAGTAGAGAGATTGAAAGAAAGCTAGCTCGTGGTATCGTGGCTGCATGTTTTACAGGAGAAAATAGAAAGAGTTGTATATCCATTAGATTGACTTTGTTATTGTTTTTGTGTTGTCTACTTCGAAGACACTGAACTGGATGGATACGAAACTGGACGCGTTTGATGTTCGTTAGTTTGTCTGTTGGGTCCTTTGTTGTATACATTGTTCTCATTTGAGAACGTGACATTACTTACTTAGATTGACCTAGATTTACGTTGAGGGTATCGTCGATGAAGCATCAGACGCTTACACTTCCGGAAAACCTGGTCTTATTCTATTCTCCTTGTACTGTTTCAGGAGTATCCAGGAAGATCTTTGTTTTATTTTTTTCCCTTATATTATTGAAATGGGATTATGATTATGTACGCATGTTTTTTCTTGTTGGTTTTTGTAAAACTTGAATAAGCTGACATCGACACCGTGAGAATGTTTGGTCGTCAATATTGGTTTTACCTTTGCCGACAAGATCTTCTATATTTCTTTTGGAACAAATTATGTTTGTCTCTTCTTTCTTAAAGACATGTTGCCATTTGGTTTTAACCCTAATTTGAATGGCGATGTGTTTTCAATGAAAGAGAAGACGGTTCACTGCTGGAACACCTGGTCCTATTATCTTGCAAATTTTAAACTGGTTACCAATTTTCTATCGTTAACATACATTAAGATGATGACTAATGTATTAGAAAAGTCTCCATTAGTACTTGTTAGTGTCAGGGTTTTGATATAAATGTTATTAGTTTATACACAGTAGCTAAGTATCCTTATCTGGTTATCATTATTAGAACAGAACGATTTTTTTTTCTAAATTAAACTTCACAGCAAAATCAAAACAAACGATACTTTATACGGAGACCATAGAGACATCACAAGGGGAATAAAACAGGTGTTTCGGAAGGATAAACGCACTCTCCTTCCCCGCCAATACCTGCTAATCTGGACTGGATCAATATATTCCAAGTACGTTCATGTCCAAAGGTATTCATTTTACAACTTAATATTTCTATGATAACATGTTTGTTTATATCCAAATGAAGTCAAAGTTCATTCTGACTTAAAATATTCCACAAGGTCATTCACAGATATGTTGTCTGGTAATGTCTCCCATCAATATAATTTAAAATCTTGTTATTTACATATATTCAGCAGTATGTTTTCACCGTATCTAAATTCCATGCTTTAGACGGCTCACGAAACAAAACGTCCGATGATGGATGACAATGATATCAGTATACCTACATTTTAATCGATGCTATATAATACAGTTATCGTTCTAAAAGAGCAAAGCAGCTGTATGATGCAGTTGGCTTCATTTCTTGTCTCTGTTGTATCTAATTCTAAATCTGTGTTGACAGATGTTATTCACTTTTTTGCCTTTCTTTCAATCTTCGAACTAGCTGATGGTAGACACTTTTAAATTATATTGAATAATGGGACACTTCAGAATATACAAATGTACAGCTGTACTTTACTGTCTTTAGAAATCACAAGATATTTGAATATTGGTAATGTTATTGAAACAACATACTTCTAAATTCAGGCCTTGGTACACAATGAGAAGTCCTAGAAGGACAAAACAGCTGTACGATGTAGTTAATTTCATTATCTACCTAAACAACATCTAGGTGTGTGACCACTCGATTTAATTAATTGTTATACTGGTAAGCAGAAAAGAAAGTGTGGTATCTACAAAACAAGTTAGAAACTTACGAAGTGGTGTGTTATCTATAACTTTTAATGATATCTTCTTTTTTCAATCAAAGAAATATGTTCGTATGTCGCCGAATACACGCCGATACATGTAACGTTACTCGTTCACTAAGTCTATTACATCTAGCATTTAAGAGGTGTTAAAACTACCGTAGTATGTCCATATATAATTAATACCTTCTGAAACAGTAATTACAGACGTATTTGATATCTTATTTTATTGTTTTTATTCTATTTGCTATATCAGCATATCCCGCTTTCTGGCACCTGCGACTACATGATACAGATAGACAAAAAAAAAAAAAAAAAAAACCCGAGCGTCATACAAATACCACATAATTTGCTGAAATATTCGAAATAAAACACTATTTGAATTCAATAATTTTACCAGCGACTGTGTACTAATCATTTCCATTCAGGAATATTGAGGTACCGCAATGCACTCTGGGAGAGATTGCTTCATCAGTAATGACAGAGCGATCAATACCTGCTTACAAAAAGCAGATAACTTTGTATTGAGAAAAAACGAAATTTCCTCAGCTATAATTAAAATGTAATTTCAACGAGATAAAATTCAAGCCCGACCCATAGCACACCATTAATGTGAATTGAATGCGCTCCTTGAAACTAAGATGGGTCAAGGCCGCCGTCTTGATTATATTTTTGACCAACACGACACTGTTTTTTAATCCAGGCTACAAATCGCTGGTTAGGTTTGAGTCTCAGCAATCTCTCTCATTTACAATGTGTATCAGATGAAGCATCGGTAATAATTGATGTAAATGTTTTGAAACTCATTTAAGAACGGTTTATTTCAAATTCAACAGTTACTTACTTCTCTCATTACAGTTTCAAGTAATCATGAAAAGAATTTATCTGTAATGTGATGCTTTAAAACCAGACACGTCAGTGTGCAAACAACGGTCAACGGAAATATTTTCATGGACACACCAGTAATTTGATTACATTTTTGCGATATCGTTGAATATAGATATTTTTTCGCGAAAATCCTAAGCTTGCTGTCTTATAAAGGACTATCCCAAGGTAAGTATTAATATCAGCCAATCAAAGTGACAGGATTGGCAGTTCTGACCTGTCGCTGTATTTTCATAGCAATATCTAGCGGTGGGTAGAAAAACTACGGTAGGCAATCCAGTCATGGCTTCCATGGGGGATTGTTGCTCTGTCCGCCATGATGTTTCCATTCGCACAAAACACTACTGGGAATTCCAATTTCCACATCACATCTTAATGACTGATGTTTTGTGCAAATATTCCTTTTTTTTCTTGTATGTGTTATTTTTAGAGCTTGCCTTGCAAGCGATACCTGCGGGGTAAGTCGAGGTACGCCTACCATCAAAATCTGTAGGTCATTTGTTAGCAAATGTTCACTTCTTTCAGAAAAAATGAAACTAAAATTGATGTACAGTCGCTCTGTCAGTGGATAATTTGATGATGGTGGTCATTTATGTTAAAGAAAGATCTAAAAGAAAGTTAAAAATAGGGGTGAGAAAATTGATAAAAGGATAAAGACCACAAAAATCTTGAGGAAAAAGAGATACATCCCAGATTTCGTTTTTAAGATATATTTCTTAACGACTTGTCATTTGCTTTGATTTGTTTTGCTGTCAGGTCATACGTTTCCGGACTCCAGTCCAGCGTCAGTAAATATGATGACAGGTTGATTGCGGGATAAGCCCTGGCTAGACATTTCCACATTTTTCTAATGACTATCAGATATCGGCGACAAATAACACCTGCGCTCTTAAATGACTGTCTGATGCCATGTCTCTTCCTGCAGCAATCGGTGTTGCTTAATAAATGACATACTCTTCCGTTCATAATCTGAGTGACCATGGGGCGAAATGAATTAATTTACATCAATGATATACCGTCTTGGGTTTCGATTCAGCAGACGGAGATTTATTGATTTTCTCTATGAAATATGTTATCAGAAAAAAGTGTTCATGGACGGCTTGACACAGGGAATGACTGACCTTGACCTTGTATAGCCTATGACCTGGCTTATATCAACTATAACTACGGAACCCAAAGTCGTAACGAGATTGAGCTACCGACTAGATGGGGTCTTCACATATAATGGTTTGGTTCGATGAACATGGTAATCTATTTGGTCTAGCGGCTTTCCTTGATGGAAAATGTGAAATAGTATTTCGTAAGAAAATCTATAGAACACATCGGTAAGAGCGTAAATCTCCTTGGCTGAAATTCCTGTCTGATTTAAATATAATGCCAACATTCTAGGAATTCATTAGGCATGGGTGTATGATATAAGGTGTACATATGTTTTTTTTTTTACATGCGCTCTTATTTTACATATGGTTCTTTGAATCGAATCAAATAATGTTTATTAGCAAAAGCAAAGTCAAGTTCCTTTTTCTAACATGGTCGATAATTCAGACAGATATTGTAGAAAGAAACTTCAACATAAAACCCAAAGTCATTATGGCTCTATATCTATGGTCTCCATTGTTAAGAATGGACAAACTGAATGCCAGATTCTACCACGAGATTGGACTGAAAGACGTGGAGGAAAATGGAAGAAAACATGTCATCACATCTATGGTTCTGTTACATACCGTGTGCTAGGATACGAGGCGATCTGTACATCATGGAAGAGACAAGTGTTAGATTTGTATCATCAGTATAGCTTTCGTTGTATCGTGTCATCATAGTTATGTATAAATCTTGTCCATCTGCGACATTAGGATACGCTTGAAGTGTCATCTCGCAACCGGAAGTAGCAGTGCCGTATGCAAGAGGGGCGTAGTAATATTCATTTACGTCGTCAGAGTTAACTGTGAATATAATAAATATGTTATGGTAAGTTGTATTTTTAACATTAATCTATTGTACAGTCGTTATAGGGATTATAATGTAATTACAAGATTTATTAAACAATAGGACTACTTTGGTTTTTTTTTAAATACTAGAAAAGTGGTATGATACTATAACATCGGTAATGTTTGTAAAGCAAATTAAATACCTATTTACCAAGTAGTAGAGAGAAAAAAATAACCAACCTTACAATCTTCTTGCTTCTACAATAATAATGTTACCATTTTCTCACATAAATTATGTAGAACAAACTCATTAAACTTCCCAGATGTCTTGGAAGATATTTCCTCCAAAGCGTATTTCCTATGAATATTTACTCTAAGCGTACCTACACATTTTCGTGAACTCACACCAATTAAACATATTCTTACCTCTTGTCAGAGAAACCACCCATAAGGTTGCCATGAAGCTGAGTGCCGCTGAAATAAACAATTAAGTCGTTACATTTATAATTACTGATATGCATATCTCAGTACTGAACATATTATAAAATATTTATTACGACTGTGATTTATCACGGATAACTGTTTCTGAAGGAAATTATCTATCTTTAAAATATCTAAGCAACGTTATCAATACATTTTAAAGAATAAGTGGCTTATCGACAGGTAAATCTGCATTTGTTGTTTCTAACGTATCCAAGTCTACATATCATTCATTAAGATTAACACCAATTCCAACTCTAGTCCTGCCACCATCATCACTAATATCTTATCGATATATATTTAGTCTACACATCCCCTCTCTAGTTTTATCATCATTTATACTGATATTTGATAGTCACATGTCACAGTCACGTGATATATGCTTTTAGGATGTATATCGTCTCTATATGTCCAGTTAAGACTATCTATATATGTAATAGTTTGCTTAGTGCTCACTTCATTGTGTATCTTATACTTTTTATAAAATACTGTCTCTTGAATGTATTCATACTTAGCAAATTAAAACTGACATGATATTACATTACATCTCCCTACCTCCAGAACGATACACATGATATAAAACACATTTCCCTACTACCAGAACCTTACATGATATAAAACACATTTCCCTACTACCAGAACGATATACATGATATAAAACACATTTCCCTACTACCAGAACGATACATGATATAAAACACATTTCCCTACTACCAGAACGATACATGATATAAAACACATTTCCCTACTACCAGAACGATACATGATATAAAACACATTTCCCTACTACCAGAACGATACATGATATAAAACACATCTCCCTACCACCAGAACGATACATGATATAAAACACATCTCCCTACCACCAGAACCTTACACACGATATAAAACACATCTCCCTACCACCAGAACCTTACACACGATATAAAACACATCTCCCTACCACCAGAACGATACATGATATAAAACACATCTCCCTACAACCAGAACCTTACACACGATATAAAACACATCTCCCTACCACCAGAACCTTACACACGATATAAAACACATCTCCCTACCACCAGAACCTTACACACGATATAAAACACATCTCCCTACCACCAGAACCTTACACACGATATAAAACACATCTCCCTACCACCAGAACCTTACACACGATATAAAACACATCTCCCTACCACCAGAACCTTACACACGATATAAAACACATCTCCCTACCACCAGAACCTTACACACGATATAAAACACATCTCCCTACCACCAGAACCTTACACACGATATAAAACACATCTCCCTACTACCAGAACGATACATGATATAAAACACATTTCCCTACCACCAGAACGATACATGATATAAAACACATCTCCCTACCACCGGAACCTTACACACGATATAAAACACATCTCCCTACCACCAGAACCTTACACACGATATAAAACACATCTCCCTACCACCAGAACCTTACACACGATATAAAACACATCTCCCTACCACCAGAACCTTACACACGATATAAAACACATCTCCCTACCACCAGAACCTTACACACGATATAAAACACATCTCCCTACCACCAGAACCTTACACACGATATAAAACACATCTCCCTACCACCAGAACCTTACACACGATATAAAACACATCTCCCTACCACCAGAACCTTACACACGATATAAAACACATTTCCTTACCACCAGAACGATACACACGATATAAAACACATCTCCCTACCACCAGAACCTTACACACGATATAAACACATCTCCCTACCACCAGAACCTTACACACGATATAAAACACATCTCCCTACCACCAGAACCTTACACACGATATAAAACACATCTCCCTACCACCAGAACGATACATGATATAAAACACATTTCCCAACAACCAGATCCTTACACACGATATAAAACACATCACCCTACCACCAGAACCTTACACACGATATAAAACACATCTCCCTACCACCAGAACGATACATGATATAAAACACATTTCCCAACTACCAGAACGATACATGATATAAAACACATCTCCCTACCACCAGAACCTTACACACGATATAAAACACATCTCCCTACCACCAGAACCTTACACACGATATAAAACACATCTCCCTACCACCAGAACCTTACACACGATATAAAACACATCTCCCTACCACCAGAACCTTACACACGATATAAAACACATCTCCCTACCACCAGAACCTTACACACGATATAAAACACATCTCCCTACCACCAGAACCTTACACACGATATAAAACACATACCACCAGAACCTTACACACGATATAAAACACATCTCCCTACCACCAGAACCTTACACACGATATAAAACACATCTCCCTACCACCAGAACCTTACACACGATATAAAACACATCTCCCTACCACCAGAACCTTACACACGATAAAAAACCTTACACACGATATAAAACACATCTCCCTACCACCGGAACCTTACACACGATATAAAACACATCTCCCTACAACCAGAACCTTACACACGATATAAATCACATCTTCCTACCACCAGAACCTTACACACGATATAAAACACATCTTCCTACCATCAGAACCTTACACACGATATAAAACACATCTCCCTACCACCAGATCCTTACACACGATATAAAACACATCTCCCTACTACCAGAACCTTACACACGATATAAAACACATCTTCCTACCACCAGAACCTTACACACGATATAAAACACATCTCCCTACCACCAGAACCTTACACACGATATAAAACACATCTCCCTACCACCAGAACCTTACACACGATATAAAACACATCTCCCTACCACCAGAACCTTACACACGATATAAAACACATCTCCCTACCACCAGAACCTTACACACGATATAAAACACATCTCCCTACCACCAGAACCTTACACACGATATAAAACACATCTCCCTACCACCAGAACCTTACACACGATATAAAACACATCTCCCTACCACCAGAACCTTACACACGATATAAAACACATCTCCCTACCACCAGAACCTTACACACGATATAAAACACATCTCCCTACCACCAGAACCTTACACACGATATAAAACACATACACACGATATAAAACACATCTCCCACGATATAAAACACACTCCCTACCACCAGACACACGATATAAAACACATCTCCCTACCACCAGAACCTTACACATGACATAAAACACATCTCCCTACCACCAGAACCTTACACATGATATAAAACACATCTCCCTACCACCAGAACCTTACACATGATATAAAACACATCTCCCTACCACCAGAACCTTACACACGATATAAAACACATCTCCCTACCACCAGAACCTTACACACGATATAAAACACATCTCCCTACCAGAACTTACACACCAGAACTTACACACGACCACCAGAAACAGATATAAAACCTCCCTACACACGATATAAAACATCTCCCTACCACCAGAACCTTACACACGATATAAAACACATCTTCCTACCACCAGAACCTTACACACGATATAAAACACATCTTCCTACCATCAGAACCTACCACACGATATAAAACATCTCCCTACCACCAGAACCTTACACACGATATAAAACACATCTCCCTACCACCAGAACCTTACACACGATATAAAACACATCTCCCTACCACCAGAACCTTACACACGATATAAAACACATCTCCCTACCACCAGAACCTTACACACGATATAAAACACATCTCCCTACCACCGGAACCTTACACACGATATAAAACACATCTCCCTACCACCAGAACCTTACACACGATATAAAACACATCTCCCTACCACCAGAACCTTACACACGATATAAAACACATCTCCCTACAACCAGATCCTTACACACGATATAAAACACATCTCCCTACAACCAGATCCTTACACACGATATAAAACACATCACCCTACCACCAGAAACTAACACACGATATAAAACACATCTCCCTACCACCAGAACATAGCACACGATATAAAACACATCTCCATACCACCAGAACCTTACACACGATATAAAACACATCTCCCTACCACCAGAACCTTACACACGATATAAAACACATCTCCCTACCACCAGAACCTTACACACGATATAAAACACATCTCCCTACCACCAGAACCTTACACACGATATAAAACACATCTTCCTACCACCAGATCCTTACACACGATATAAAACACATCTCCCTACCACCAGAACCTTACACACGATATAAAACACATCTCCCTACCACCAGAACCTTACACACGATATAAAACACATCTCCCTACCACCAGAACCTTACACACGATATAAAACACATCTTCCTACCACCAGAACCTTACACACACAGAACCTTACACACGATATAAAACACAACTTACACAGATATAAAACACATCTCCCTTACCAGAACCTTACACACGATATAAAACACATCTCCCTACCACTTACACAGAACACCTTACACACGATATAAAACACATCTCCCTACAACCAGAACCTTACACACGATATAAAACACATCTCCCTACCACCAGAACCTTACACACGATATAAAACACATCTCCCTACCACCAGAACCTTACACACGATATAAAACACATCTCCCTACCACCAGAACCTTACACACGATATAAAACACATCTCCCTACCACAAGAACCTTACACACGATATAAAACACATCTCCCTACCACCAGAACCTTACACACGATATAAAACACATCTCCCTACAACCAGAACCTTACACACGATATAAAACACATCTCCCTACCACCAGAACCTTACAAACGATATAAAACACATCTCCCTACAACCAGATCCTTACACACGATATAAAACACATCTCCCTACCACCAGAACCTTACACACGATATAAAACACATCTCCCTACAACCAGAACCTTACACACGATATAAAACACATCTCCCTACCACCAGAACCTTACACACGATATAAAACACATCTCCCTACCACCAGAACCTT